ATTGCACATTTAATTAATTGTTTATCGCTGTATTTATTTATTTAATTGTGGCACTTTATATTTGTGACGTGGTTTTAATTAATGACACATTTATTTATTTAATTCCACATTTAATTAATTATTGACACATTTAATTATTTATTTATTGCTGTATTTATTTATTTAATTTTGCCACTTTTTATCCTCCATAACTGGCAGGACACACTGGATCTTTGGTCTTTGTGTGTTTAATTCACTGTATCAACTGTATAAAACAAGCCGAACCCGTCTGAGGAAGCAGAGCAACTCTTTGGATAATAGCATCGGCATCAACCGCTGCATTTAGCAATGGTCTAGAAGGCAAATGGAGCACAGGCCTTGTGCTAAAGCTTTCACCAGAATAAAGCACTATTAACAATTACACAGAGAAACCAACATTTACATCTCTGGTAAAAAAAACAACAACAATATTTTGGCAAACACATCCTGGAAAAGGACATGTGCTATATTTTGGTTACCTTATAGTTTCTAGTATTTCTTTGGATGCACTGCAAAAAACAGAAATCTCAATAAGTCATTTTATCTTAAAATAAGTGCATTTTTTCTTAAATTGAGGAGGTAAGTGAGACACTTTGCCAACGGAACAAGATAATTTACTTTTAAAATAAGAAAAAAACAATGTTATTTCAGTGCGTATTATCTAATTATCTTATTTTAAGAGTAAAAATACTGATTCCATTGGCAGATCATCTTATTTACCTGCTCAAATTAAGGGTAAATACGCTTGATTTAAGAATCTTTTACTTATTTCTAGATCGCTTTTGCAGTGTGTATTTCTCTTCTGTTTTTTTGGGATCTAAGCATCTATAGCATGTTAAGCCCTTTCTATATATTAAGGCCATGTTAAAGCTTTGAGTTGAGTGCATTGAAAATGCCAAACTATACTGTTTGATAAAGCTAAAAAAAATAGTTTGACAGAAGGTAATGCACTTTTCATCTTTACGACTGAGACAAAAACGACGAGAAACGAAATGAATTTCAACACGAACTGATCAGAAAAAAAAAACATGGAAAGGATTTTCAATGTGTCCCCTGAGTCTGAGGTAATACTGCAGAATAAGGAGGTAGTAATGTATATAAAAGTACACTGAGGTAGATCATTTTTAAAAAAAGGCTCCAAGAGATCGTTTGGTCACCAGTATCGGGCGATTTTCACGTCGAAGGGCCTCCACCAACGACTGGCTGGTTGAAAAATGAAAAATCCCACCTTTTCTTCCAGTCAGTAAATGCACCGCACCTTAGGTCAAAGCTTTAAAAACCAAAAGTCTGATTGGTGCGTCTCTATATAATCGAATAAAAACGTATAAATCCGACATTCTCTTCAAACATTCATCATGGGTGAGCTTTGGTTTGGACAGACGATACCAAACACACAAACAGGTAGACAGTCGCGTAAAAAAAAAAAAAAAAAAGCGAAAGAAATGTTTTTCTTTTTAAAATCATTCGTACAAAATCCTGAGGTACGTCCAAAAGGAATGCACATCTCTTCCTTTTCAGCAGCTGGTTCCTGATTCCCCCTCTCTTACCCAAAATACCAAAGGGTCTCGTCTCAGGAAGCCAATGAGGTAGAAGATGGTGAAGATTCTCAGTCATCCAGGTCAGAGTCGTTCCAAAAAAGGTAAAAAAAAAAAAACAATCCACTGCACTTTTGTTTTTAAGTTTGAAGACGTTTCTCTTCCATCCAGGAAGATTTTTCAGTTCAAAATATCAGAAATAG